GGACTTAAGGGGAGTACAAGAAAAAAACCAACAAAAAACCAAACAAACCAAACTAGGTTGGCAAGAAGGAGAAGAAAAGAGCACCCGTGCCAGAAGGAAGCAGCAGAGGCTGGGCAAAAGCCTGAGGTGATGGACCAATGTGTCTGGTTCAAGTTCAGGGTCACAGAATGGGAATGTGATGTGAGTGAGCTAAAGCCTCAGGTCTTGCCTCCAGGGCAGCTCTGGGAGGCTGTGCCTCCTCCACCTCAGAGGCCACACAGCACAGGAGGATACAGCACAACCATAAAACCTGTCCCTGGCACTGAGCTACCAAAAGCCTGCTCTGCAGATGCCCCAGTTGCTTAAGGAGACTCCAACTTTAACAACAAGCTAAAGCTGCTCCCATAACTACTGCTCACTCTCCCTCAGTGGCTTTCACCAAGGACATCCTTGCTGAGAACCCCATCTGTGCAATGCTGATGTCCCTCACCCCCAGCCCTCACGCTGGGTTCAGGAGGTAGGTGCCTGATCCTGCCAGTGACCTATGAAGTGTTATCTGATGGACTAGGAGCATGAACTAAGATGCAATCTAGCTGCCACTGAGAAATGACTGATTGCTCTGCAGCTAGACTGCCAGACAGCCATCAGATAACACTGCCTGTGACCTCCTAGCTGAGATGAACCAGAAGTCTAGAAAGATCAAACTCCACAGGGTTTCAGTTGGCACCACACTACTCTGTACCAACCCATACTCACTGACCAGCCAACAGCAGTGTCCTTTTCCCTCTCACCACCTTTTCCAATCACCATCACTCATGAAGCAGGTCACACTCTTGACATACACCTTTTAAATCACAGCATACAAAGGCAATACAGGGTAAAGTCTTAGGCACTACCATGGTTTTTCAGCAGCAGCTTTTGACCTCAACACCTTCTCACACTGAGCAGGAGACAGCTGTAACTGGAATCTCCTTAGCTGACTGCAGCCTGCAAAATCTGGCAGTTTAAGGGGGTTCTCCAAGCTCTTTAGGCAACAGAGACAGGACAGTTTAACCCTCCCAGATCAGAAACCTGTTTCTTCTCTGCTGACTACAAAGATACAACTCAGCTTTGACTGCATGTCTGAAAGGAGGGGAGGTGAATACTGATGTATCACACACATCCTCTGATCCTGGTAAGGTCAGCAAGGGACAGCTATTTAAAATTATCCTCTCATTATCTGATCCTTCAGACTGGGGCTGAGTTCCCCATTTGTAAAATGGGAACAAGAGAACTTCCTCTCATTGAGGAGATGCTAAAATCACAAGGAATCCAGACTGTGCAGTGGGGAAGGTTCTGTTAACACCTCAGCTAGTTGTATAAATGAGATGCTGTCAGGGACAGCATAGGAAAGTTTCACCTTCTGTGAGTCTGGGTGGCAAGAACTGACCACAGATGCCTGGCTTAGCAAGGCAGTTTTAGCATCTTTAGTTTTTCCTCTAGTGTTTAGTTTGATCTTGTGATTCCCAAGGACTCCTTTGCTTCTCTGCCTCTCTTAATGCTGTTTGTGTGATGCTCAGCTACTCCCCAAACTCTGAACAGCTCTGCATTGACTACATCTCACCATTTCAGCATGGGAAAATCCTCTTTCTTTTCACAGAGAAGAAAGTGAAGTACCCCAGCTCTGACTTGCCTGAGAGGCAGGCAGCAGCCAAGCTCACTCAGGGGCAGGTGATTTCCAGCCTCGTGCCCCTGCTCTGGATCTCCATGTAACTGTTTTTTGCTCTCTTCCTGTCTCAGCTTCTCAGTTCTCAGACTCTTCCTACAGTGAGAGTCTAGCAGAGATACCTCGATGACTAATTGTTCTCAGGGTAAGGACAAAGATCTCTACTCACTGGTACAGATTCTGTGTTTCAAGGAGGTTTTGTTACCCCCTCCCCCCCTCCTTCCTTAAATATGTTTGCTTCAGCAGTATTCAGGTTTGATTCATCCAAGCCATGGATTTCTTTGCCTATCTTTGAAAGTCTCAAGCAATGAAAGAAGAAAACTCAGCAGCCCCAGAAAAGAAGGGAATCATTGCTGTTTGTGTTTAAATTAACAAGGCTGTGAGTGTAACCACTGTGGCCTGGCATGTCTGAGGGGTGATATGAGTTTGATTCTAGATGTGGCAGGTAAGAAGGATTCCTGAACATGGTAACTGCTGCAGGGAGCTGCAGATGCAGAAACCCAGTGCCAGACCACGTAGCATGCCACAAAATGCTGGAAGGACATATGCAAATATCTTTTTTTCTTCAACCTGAATGCAAAAAAGCTCACCTCTGAATGCAAAAATAGGCACCTCCCTCTCTCTACTGAAACTCAAAAAGATGTGAAGCAACTTGCAGCTTTAAAGATGGAAAAAACTTCTCAGAGAGGCAGAGGGAGAACTGTCATGTCACAAGTGCTGTGTGTGTAGCTGTGATATTACACATCTTCTGAACCTGCTGTCATCGTGACAAATGTCTGACAGGCAACAGCCCAGATCTGGGCAGGAAGACAACTTGTTACCTTCAGGAAGGAGCACTCTGCAGGCAAAAAAAGGTCACACTGCATGATCAGGTCTTGTGTTTGTAACTAATACAGGCTAATCTCAGGATTTACACTCAATATTCCCTATGTCTTCTTTTTTTAATAAACCCAGAAATCTACTGACTACTGTATTAATTTAACAACTGTTCTAAATCATAGGATTAAGAGACTCTTTCCTTTTTAATTGGAATTTTTTAAAATGTCAAAACTTCCTATTCAACAGCTTTTGTGTCCTTGCAGAGGAGAAATATTCTTCTCAATAATCTCATCTTTTAATACACATGAGGTAGTTTTTGTTTGATCCAAAAGTCAACAGACAAGCGACCAAAAGAGTCTGGAACAATGTACCAAGAGCAGCAGCCAACAGCATGAGACTGTTTTGCTCTGAGCCTCACTTACAACTCTCACTGCTTCTCTCTCTTGCCAGAAGCAGCCAGCCCCCTTCTCCTGCCTCTCCCACAGAACTGGGATACAGCAGCACGAAACGGGAGGTGGTGTGTCTCCAAAACACGTGTTGACAACACTCTTTATTTAGCCTGCTCCTGACAGTCAGCCTACAGCTCCTGGCAACACAGCATCCCAAGGTATTCCACCACAGCCCCCCTGCATCCCACAACACATAAACAAGAGAAATCCCTCACCACCACAACACAGATCCCAAGAGGATCCTAGAGATCAGCGTGTGCTTCAGGTAGACCATATTTCCTTAACAGATCTAGCAGCTTTCAAGGGGTTTAATTCAGAAAGATCCCATGCAGTCCTGCCTGGCTCCAGCAGTAGCCCAATAATCCCTCCCCAGAGAGATGAGGACCTATTTATTTGTAATTAAGACCCTGCAGAATTCTCTAGGGAGAACTAGAAGGTGAGGAGGTGGAGGTGGGTGTGGTGGGGAAAGCCTGAGCTGACAGACCTCAGTCTCACCTTCTGCATGCTCACAGCCCTTGCTGCAGCATGGAGCTGCCCATCCCTCTCCCTCAGGTGAAAAGCCAGCACAGGGTCCTTCCTGGGCTTGTTCTCTGACAGACAAAGCAGCTGCCAAACTCATACCCCAAACCCATCCAGAGTTAGGGTGCCACAAGCTGCCTTACTTCATCACAGCACCACTGCAGATATGAAGGACACCATTAGCATCCCCAGGCTCCCATCCTGGCTCTGCCCCAGAGCTGCTGTGGGACTTGGATAGTGGTGCCCACTGCCTGGCTCTCAGGTCTCCCAACACTCTCCCTGCCTGGGGTGCTTCTCCTGTGAGCCAGCTGGCACAAGGAGACCCTGACCTCTGGAGCTGCTCTAGGTTCTGTGAGCTCTGATAAACACCACATCATCTTCTGGGCACCTGTCTTAGCAGCACAACAGGCCAAAGCACATTGTTTAGGACAATAGAATCATAGAATCACCATGGTTGGAAAGGACCTCCAGGATCATCAAGTCCAACCTTCAACCCAACATCTCCCTAAGCACTAGACCATAGCCTCAAGTGCCACATCTACTCGTTTTTTAGGACAGTAAGGCTGATACAGCTCAGCACAGCCTGAACCACTCAGAAGTGGCTCTTGAGGGAGTCAGCCTGGGGGTGTGCACCCTGGACACACAATCCACAACTCTTAGCAACAGCCCACAGCTGAAAGAAAGCTGCCAGCCCACAACTGCTCTCACTGACCTATCACTCCAGTTTCAGATATGCTGCCCCTTTGGGGCAGATCTCAAAAGAAAAACTGATGCCCCTAAACCCCATCAGGAAGTCCCTAAGCAACATGGAGCACGTGAGCAGTGCAGAAATCTGTGTTTCTAGTGTGAGAAGCTAATTGTCATCTGAATGTGGAAGGAACTCTGAACAGCAGGGCAGACTGTGGTACATGGGTAGCACTGGCTGGGCTAAGAGGATGAGTAAGCTACAGCCCCCACTGCCTCCTAGTGAAACCATGTGCACCTCTTGGGGCTTTGAGAGACCATGACTCCCTCCCCACCCCAGGTTTCATGATCTATATTGAGAAAACAAGGTTTGAGAGGTGGTCCAGGAAGGGGAAGTGGCTCGTTCAGGATCATAAAGCAGAATGGGAATTAACAGGTCAAAAACCCCTGCCCTCAATCCTGGTACTTTCTGGATTCTGAGACCACAGCTCAAGTTTCATTCTCTGGTTATAAGTAAACTGTGCTGACATTTTGGATTGAAAAGATCCACAATGCACTGATAAGAAAGTGACTTCAGAGTAAAAGGGATTCCACAGGCTGAGGTTCTCAGCTCTAAAACATGCCAGCATCACAGAATCAAAGGCAGACATGTTAAAAGTGTGCTGACAGCTTCAGCAGCAGACTGGAGACTCAAATCTCCATAGTGGTGGATTGGAGACCAGCACTGCACTGGTTGGGGCACTAGTTCAACTCCTTATATCCTTTTCCTCCTGGTGTTAGAGCTGCTTCCAAAACCAGCAGTGAGTGGTGCTGTTGTGGGAGGGAATGGTGCCAGCATGGCTTACCTGGACAATCAGCTTGTTTTCTTTGTCAGGCAGAATTCTGTAGGTGTAAACACAGTTTCTGCACCTGGAACAGAGCAGGGAAGACACAGTCAGACCATCTCCAGAAGGGAACTGCCCTGTGGCACCCCTCTCCCTCAGAAAAGACAGCAGAAGATCCCCAGACACAGAGATGGTTTCATGCACGAGGGTTTTCAACATTTCTCTTTATTTTTTCTTTCCCTGGACTGTGAACCAGCACAAACCTGAAGTGTTCCTGGTCACTGAGGGATGTTTGCAGATGCCTCTGCAGAAAGTGATACCAGCATCAGCCTCAGAGTGAGTTATTCAACTCTTGCTGGCCAGAAAGAAGGAAAACACCAAATGGCTCTAGCTGTCAGTGGAGTGGGTGTCTCAGGAAGGAATGAAAAAGCAGAAACACAAAAGACACAGGGCCAAAATCAGCAGGGAATGAGTAAATTGAAGGGTGAGGATGTGCATTGACTTGTATTGGAAAAAAAAAAACAACCCAAATAATAGATTTCAGCTAAATCACAGTAAGACAGCTGATTGCTAGGCACATGCTCATGCACAAACCCTGCCCAGTCTGAATGAAAACCCATCTTGCTCTCCTGGTGCAGACACACACTGTACCTGTGCATCCGTGGATCAGCCATCACGAACATTTTGCCAATTAGATTCTCATTTAAGGCAGGCTGGAGGAGTTTGTTGCCCAGTGGAGGGCTGCATTAATGCCCACGAGCCCAAGGGAAGCCTGAGCTGTGCTGCAGTGTGGTAAGCATGACCTCCCTCAGCAGCTGCAGAGCTTTGGGGAGCTTGCTCAAGAAGGGTTGACTAAAAATGCTATTTCTACCTTTCTCTCAGGTGAACAACTCATTGATCAAATCTTTTCAACTACCCACAAATCACTCAGAGCACACAATATTGCTTTAAACCAGCAAACAATGCTGGTTCCAACACCTTCCTCTCAAAGGAAAAAATGGAATCTCCTCTCAGAGCTTCCTTGGCTGCAACAGAACCACTGCATCGACCTGAGGGATCCTCATGAAACGTCCTGAGGACAGCTGCCCCAACTGGGGAGGTCAGGCAGATCAAGAAAACCTCCTCAGCTCTTTCACAGTTATGCTGCATATTCTTCACATGCCTTTCAGAAACACTCCATGCAGGAGAAAGAGAGAGAGAGGCTGCCAGGATTTTTGGTATCCTTACAGAAGGAGTCACAAAGAGTAGTTGGAAATGAAAAGGAATTACTCATAAATCACAGCTGACTTTTGCCAGGCTGCTTGGAGGATTTTGTTGCAGGTCCAGATTAACCTGTGTCTTTTTGATGGCATCCATGCAGAGGACACAGAGGAACCAGAGCTGCTCCCACAGCTCAGTACCTCTTCACTAAGCAGTGTAAGACCTTTTCACAGGCACCTATTTGCACATCTGAGCATCTGGTACAGAGCTGGAAGTGACAGACACAACCCCCAACTCCTTTTGGATTGCCACTGCTCATTTCACTCCATGCCAGATGAGGATATGCCCCAGGGAAGGGTAGGGGCTTTGGTTTTATCTGTCAGTGCAGTTCTCTTACACCATTTCCTCCTGCTGATATGCAAACAGGACTAAGCAGAACTGCTCATGCAGCTGAGGAGAGAAAATTTGTATGTGTGGAGATCATGAAACTGATAAACAAACCAGCTCAATGGCTCTTGTGTCACAAGAGGACCCTCCTTGGTACCTTCCCAGAAAGTGCCCCATCACACAGACCCTCCCAAGGCTGCTGTCCTCATACTTGTAAAGAGGTTTAGAAAAAAAGCAATGGAAGAGCAAAGAAAAGAAGGGCTTGTCATGTGAGACAGGAGCAGGGTGGAGCACTTCCTAGGATCAAAGGCAGGAATCCTCTTTAGCAGTCCCCTAATTTAGTGCCTGTGGATGGAGAGGACTGGAACTCTTCCTCCATTTCTACCCTCAGGCTTTCCCTCCTCAGCATCCTCCCTGTCAAGTTATGTGGTCCCAATTACTATCACATTCCAGGTCCTTCCTAAAAACTGGGCTGAGTTCAGAATTGCTCAACCACTGTTCAGGTTGTGTGTGGGGCATAAATACAGCAGCAGTCCCAGCTTAAATATGCCACCAAGTACTTGGTAATCTCTCTGTGCTCTCAAAACCACAGAAGGAAAGGGGACAAGGCTTCTGTTTTCTCTTTCACCTCCTGCTGTACATGTTTTTGTTCACCAGTGATGACGTGCATGTGGTGAGCACTTGGAAATCCTCAACAGGACTGCCATGCTAGGCGTGGTGTTAAGTGCACCAAGAGAGAGCTGTTCCCTCAAGGGGCTGGAAATGGCATCTCACAGGCAGAGCCCTCCAAGAGGGATCCCAAAGCTGAAGCTAGCCCTCGAGGGTCATCTCTGGAAGTGTGGTTAATCCTTCAGCCTTTCACAGGCTGGAGGAACCATACCCATCCAGGTTCAGCATGCTGTGAAACTAAGCTGGCTCTTTGATTTCAGGGTCCAGGCATACCCCTCTAGGTAGAGCCCACTTCTTCTCAATGCACTGGCAGACCAAATGGTCCAGGCACAGAGAGAGGAGGAGGAAAATGACTTTGCTTCTTGCCTTTTATGGGCCAGGGTGACCACTAGAGCAGAGGACAGCAGTGCAGGGGGAGGAGCCTTCCCTCAGCATTTGCTGTTTCAGCTCTCTGCTCAGTTAAATGCTGCTGCCTGAAGTTTCAGAGAACAAGAGGCACTCTTTAAAGGCCCTGCAAATACCCCTCCCTTACTTGTCTGTATTTATACAAACCCAATTTTCCTAAAGCAGCTCTTGAAGAAAATAACTATTTCATTCTATGATATAATAATAACTACTTTTGCTGGATTTTGACTGATCTGCCCAATAAATATTAGAGCTTTGTAGAATATGACACTTCTTTTTCAGAGCAAATTTCATGGTTTTTTGTTTTTCTTATCTATACACAGTTGACACTTTCTCACTTTCAACATAATTCTCTTTTTGTGAAAACCTTTTGCAGCCAGGCTTTCAATTCCCCTCTCTCTCTCATTCTTTGTCTCCAGCCTCTCTGGTTTTTAAACAGAAGTAGCTGAAGAGCTCCAACTTCAAACATCTTCCAGTCAATAATACAGCTGAAACTGATACATCTCTGAGGAAGTCTGCAGCTTCAGCAAAGCTGCTGGTTTTGTCAAGATGACATGCAGAGGGAAAGACTTATTCACTGCCTTTAACCCTTTCTCTTTGCAGCGTGAGCTGAAGGCTTGTGAGGTACTTGGAGAGAAGTCTGTGTGACATTTCTGGGGCTGTAATTCATGCCAGCCCTTTGCACCACAAATCTGGCTGCTGCTGGCTGACAAGGCTGGGTGCTCCCCAGTTCTTGAATCAAGCCATTCATGTTAGCCACCTCCAATGGATCTAAGAACACAACCTTTGGCTGCCAGTTCAGAAAATCCTGCTCATTATATTGTTTCTGTTTCCTGATCCCATGTCTCCCAAGTCACAAAAGGCTTTCAAAGTTGGCCGTGTAAAGGTTTGCAATGGAAAAACTTATGCAAATGCATGTTAGTAGACATTTTTACAGCACCTTCCCTTTCTACAATCCTCACCATCACTCCATAAAAATATTTTGTGTGCATACTGGTTATATGGCAAATCAAAGTGGTCATACTAAAAAACACTCAGTGAAAGCAGCTATTCTAGTAAAATGTTCCCTGAGTTACACCTGGGGCCCAGGACCTGTGCAATGTCATTGCCCCTCCTTCCTCGGGCTCACCCTGGCTGTTCATCTGCAGCCTCCCTTCTTGCCCTGCTCCCTCCAGACAGACAAAACTCTTCCCCGTGTCATTACCAAGCTCTTAACAGGCAGGACGAAGTGCACAGAGGCTCTCTGTGCTTTGTGAGCACCCCCATTACCCAGCTGCTGACCCCTGAGAGTCCATCACCTATGTTACAGGGCAGTTACCCAGCCCCACGCTGCTCTGCACATGGATCCTCTGCAGCAGACTGTGCTGTCTGACCTCAGAGACAAGCAGTTAGACCAGGGTTATAAACAGCAGCACCACCTTTGCCACCACAAGAAATATATTTTCAGAAAGAGACTACACTGAGAAACCTGCTTGTAATTCAATGTGAAGTAAGGATGAAGTGAGTTCTATTAATCTGCTGCACAATGGCAGCAAAGAGAATCTGACAGGCCACCCAGGGTCCCACAGAGACTCTCTTGATCTCTCCAAAGCAGAGAGCAACTCTCTTATCTCTCTGTAATGCAAAGCCAGACGCCTCAGACTTCACCTGCAGACTTCAATGACTTCAAGCTCCCCTCAGCCCTGCACTCCTGCCTGCAGCAGTGACACCTGCCCCTCACACAGCCAGGGCAGGAGGCCTTGCTCTCTGCTCCCCAACCCAGAAGGGGGGGGGGCTTCCTATTTCCCCCCCCAAAAGGGGGGGGGGGTTTCCTATTCCCCCACGCGAGCCACATTAATGACGCAGGTGGAATCACTGCTGGGCTGAGTTGTGTCGTGCACAGCTCCAGGAACAAATTCAAGCCCTTTGCTGAGTGGGACAGGGCTTTGTACGAGCAGGTGGGTCAAACACACTGAACCAGAGTGAGAAAAGCACCTGGGAGGATACCACGCTCAGTACTCGAGCTGTTAAATGTAATACCTGACCCAAGCAGTTAACAAAGAAGTCAAGACATCACTTTCTCCCTGAGCACAGCCACCGTGCCTTTGATTGTCCTCTCCTTTTGGACGAGGGGTAAGCAGAGCCAGCAGTACAGCAGCAAAAGGGTACAGCTCTGCCCAGCCCGGCCCTGCTCCCGGCCGTTCCCTGCCCCGAGGCC